GGCCGGGCGCGTTCCCGGGGTCATGCTGTGCGCTCCTTCCCCTGGACGGGCTCTCCTTCCTGCGGCGATCGGGCAGGGACGGCGGGAACAGCAATTCCTGGGACCCTGCGGGGGCTCCAGAGATAAACCGAGTCCCAGTCTGGAGACCCCTCCATCCTGACCTGCAGCGGTTTCCCCGCCGTGCGCTTTCCCCCTGGGACTCGCTTGTGGGCCAGGCGTCCAAAAGGCTTTTGAATCCAGTTAATCATAGTTTATGTGCAGGAAGAAATGAATGTTTGTTATGAAAAACAACATCATCATTGAAAAGGAAACATGGTGTCCCCCAAACAGGCTCGACGCTGGGGCGCCTGAATGCCTATAAATAGGCCTTACCTGACCTTGAAGGTTTTTTTCATGGTGTTGGGGGCCCTTAGCGGGAACCTGTAAATTTACTTTGCGTCTGAAATGCATCAAATGATTCCCTTATCACTCAGTCACAGCTCACCCAACCCTCCCACCAGACACATATTCTGAATAGCTCGCTCTTGGACCTTATAAGAGAAATCTTTTTTGGTGGTTTAAAGGTTCCTTTAAAAAAAGTGCAGATGTGTTTGGACGCTCTTTTGGTTTCTAAAGCATAATATCCGGTGCATTTGGCGAGGTGACTCTAAAGCCAAGTTTTTAAACCTTTGGAAGAGGTTTACTTTTCTGCATCTTGGTTCTGAAACCACTTTGAACTTGAGAGGGGGAAAAAAATCATTTCTTTAAAAAACAAACAAAAAGCACACACAGTCCTTTTATGTTACCTATGGTTGAGTTGGAACTAAAATGATTGGTTTTATGGACTGTGGGCTTTTTTCATTCAAAACAGCTGAGGTTTTTCACTCTATTTGAAAGCTGCTCAGGAGTCAGTGTGCAGTCAGCTTTGAGCAGTGGTGGCTTCCAATTTTAGCAGTGACACAATGGGGTAAATTTTCAATATTGTACTTGGGGATTTACCTGTTGGATTCCATTTCACCCTAATCCTTTCCTTGTAGTGCTGAAAATCGACTCCTGAAGCTTGACTTCTAATGCATCCAATGTTCGGTTAAGTGCAAATGGAACTAGAAAGGGTGGGAAAGATAGGATGATTGGTGGTTTGTGTTGGGAGCTGGAGACAGCGAGAAGCCAATTCACCTGTTGTGTTGATGCCTCCGGGCCGGCTGGAGCTTTTAAGTTCACTGCGCAGTCACTCACCCTTTCCAGGAGAGGCAGAGATGCTGCCCCTGATGCTGTGGGCAGCCTTGGCTGTGCAGTTCTCATGGGGATGAAAGCCATTTAGAAAAATGTTGGTTACATGACTACCAAAGATGGGTGATTGCCAGGAAGCTTGGCTTCAGGGGGTAATGGGTTAACAGGAAGGTGACGTTAATGACTTTTCCATTTCTTGATTACTTTTAAAAAAAAATATATCTTTATTGATTTCATAGAGAGGAAAGGAGAGGGAGAGATAGAAACATCAATGATGAGAGAGTCATTGATCGGCTGCCTCCTGCACGCCCCTGACTGGGGATTGAGCCCGCAGCCCGGGCATGTGCCCTGACTGGGAATCGAACCCCGATTGCCTGGATCCTGGGTAGATGCTCAACCGCTGAGCCACGCCCAGCCGGGCTCTTGATTACTTTTTGATAAGCATCAGAAGTAAATAGTATGAACTATTTTAAGGAAACTGTATCTGGAACCAAAAAAAAGCCACAAATAACCCCCAAAAACCCAAAACCCCTAAGGGACAGGTGATTAACTTACAAAATAATTTTCTCTACAAAAGGACTTTTTAAAATAAAGAACTTACTGAGTTTAATCAATGTGTGGTTAACTTATAAGAAAAGTTTTTAGATGCCACTTTTAAATGATGTCTGGCATAAAGTAAGGATGACGTTACATTATGACTTACTGTTGCTTCGATTCAGATCAACTTAGTGGGTCTGGGTCGGTCAAGTGTCTTTTAAAATTTAACAATTTTATTTAGTTAAAAATTTGATGCGTTATTTAGAATGCCACTGTATCTAACTTTTGTGTTTACGTCTTTTCTCATTCTCAAGTGACTAATCTTTTGACAGTCAATATCCTCGCCGAGGTATATTTGTAGCACATTTGCATTATGTTTTTAGTTCAGTAACTAACTGGAAAATGAAGAGGCACAATGTTCATGGATCATCAGCCTATAAACTTGGGCATTGGCGGCTGGTATTTATCCTGCTGTTACAAATTAATTTTTGATATGGATGGTAAGACATGATCTTTTATACTTACAAATCCCCACACACTTTGGTTGAGTCGTTGGCTTGTAAACAGATAGGAACCAGTAGCAAGGTTAATCTCAAATTGCAGATTTGCCAAGTCATTTACAGTCATTCTGTTGGGAGCTGGTGTGAGATCCGAGTGTTTGGGATGAGCACTTGCATGTTTTTATATGAACAGAAAGCAGGGAAAAGCAAGTGGGAGTGTGCCTGCACAGCGGAAGAATGAAACAGAGACGGTGGGATATTGCCCTGCTTGTAAGGATATACATTCCCTCCAAGAAGACACAGTATGCACACAGGGAACATCAGTGAAAACAATTGCTGTTTTAGTTGACTGTGCCTTGAGCATCTTTAAATCTTCTTGTGCCTTCAACTGCAAACTCAGTGGATTAAGTAGTAGATCAACTTGACCTCCAAGAGCTTCCTTTGGTTAAAAGAGTTGGCTTAATTTCCAACTGGATGCAAAGACCAAGTTTAGGCATTTTTCTCTCTTAAAAATATCTAAGGCTATAGAGCCATTTCTCAATTAGTAGCTGATTAAAAGACAACAAAAGCAAAGACGGAACAAGTGGAGAAAACCCCTGTAAGTTGAACAAAATGCTCATGAATGTATTTGCTTGTTTAGGAGTTATTATTCAGCTCTTCATTTTCAGTTTGCAGAGAGTTCCATTTGCAGAGAGGAAGTCAATTCAACACTTATCACATCTAGACATTAGGGCATTTGTCTGTTCATTCTAGTTACTTGCTGTATTCCAGATTTGTAAATTAAGTAATTGAATAGGCACTTCTAGCTATGAATGTACACAAACTGAGAATGGGGGATTCATTTACCTGGTTTCATTGAAATCCGAGGTTGGACTGAACTGTTTTAGGTGAAAGTGTTCCCTTCCACAATGAGACCAACGGGTTTTGCTTCCAGATATCAGCTGGCAGATCTTTGCTTTTTAACAGAAAACTTTTTAGCCCAGGTCACAGATGCCGTGGATGATTCAGGTTCTTTCAGCAATAATGGCTCTGTTTTATTGTTAATGTTCCAGACAAAGATGATTCTGATCCTCAGGCTTTTCTTTACAAGGGGTCCACCCATGAGATATTATGAATGCAGTCAAAAAATAATAAGAATAGTTTTATTTTAATTCTAGAAGCACATATTTCTGGTTATCAGCAACTGAGAAAAAATTCGTAGAAGAAGCATTGCTCTGTATTTTATTATCTTCTTTCTTCTGAAAACATTGCTCAGTTATCCTTAATTTGACATTTGAGAGCACATCCCAGTGAACAATAGTTTCATGCCCTCCACTGACATCACCTAGCCAGTGAGAGCTCACATGAGGGCATTATTCCACTCGTGTCAGACAAGGTCCCCTTAGAACTTGCAGGACGGAGTGTCAGGGTTGCGAGCCTTCCTCCTGAGAGCTTCTTGCTGCCTCTTTTCTTCTGTTGTGAGAGTATCTCTAGGCTTAGAAAGAGCGGCTGTTTCTCCCACTAGCTCTTTCTCTAGAGCAGGAGTTCTCAGCAGCAGCACCGTTCACATTTGGGAGCACGGAATTCTTTGTTGTGAGGGGGTCGTCGTGTGTGTTTTAAGAGGTTTACCAGCATCCTGGGCTCCACCCACGAGCCACCCCAGTTGCCACTAATTAAAAATGACCCCATACCCTGCCAGCTGTTCCCAGGGAGTGGGCAGGGTTGTCCCCGATCCAGAACCACTCCTTTGGAGTAGTGTTTTCCAATCTGGCTGCAGATTAAAAATCACTGTGTTTGATTTGAAAAAATACTAGTGCCTGGGACCCACACTCAAATGCAGATTGAGTCGGTCTGGCATTGGGCCTGGGCGCATTGCAAAAAGAGCTCCTCTGGTGGTTCTAATGAGCAGACCCGCTGAAACCCATTGCTCTGGGTGAGCGATTGTTTCAGATGGTGGGTTGCCATGAGTGACGCTCTCAAACACCCAAGCCTCCTGGGAAAAAGAAAGTTAACTTTTCCCTTCCTTTGCTGACATGAATCCTGGGCCTGAGAAGGACTGACCCCAGCAGGTACTGTAAGACTTCACCCCTCTCAGCCCAGACCAAGGCTATCTGATAACGCACTTTGGGGGGCTATGCTTTGAAAATTTGAGTTTTGGGCAAGAGGAATTGTTAGGTTAGTTTGGGGAAAAGCTGGCATATGAGTAGTTCAAAATTACTTTTTAAAGCCTTCACGTGCAGATGGAAAGAGAAGAACGTGAGTTTCTAACCCGTTCACAGTAGATGCCGATGGTGCATGTGGACCGTTCGAGGTCTGCTGTGGCATCTGCAGTGCCGATGCATGTCTCCCAGTTTATAGGTTTTATCCTGGGCTTTAGGACCGCTTCTTAGCCTCTGTTGAGGTTATTAATGAGGGAACAAAAACGCTGATAACACAAAATGGCCTTGTTTATGGAGGGGCAAGAACTGTGTGTGGAGAAGCCCGGCAGGATTTTTCTGAAGTGAGGTTGCCTGTAAATTAAGTAGTGGTGCAGCATAGTGTGAATAATTGCTCTCATTAATCTTATATTTTGCTCAGAAAAAGTCATAGCATCACTTATGAATGAATCTGGACAATAGAAATTGAATATCTCTTGGGAGAAAAATTTCAACGGTTGCAGTATACCAGAACTGATTTAATTGAGTATGTTTTCTATTGTGTGAACTGAGGCGGAGATGGTTAAAGAACTAGATGATAGTTTTTTATCTTCAAACTTCAATATGGTAATTTGGTAGCCTTGTATCTACTTTGATAGGACATCAATTTAAGAAGTTTTGAAAAATAGAATCAATTATTGTACCACACTTGTGTACAAGTATGTACCGTACAAATGCACCTTGCATTTATCATAAGAATATATTAGATTACATTTTTTTTAATGGCATGAAAGACTTACTATTGGGAATATTTTGCAATTTCTTAAACTATATGTGAGAGGCAAACTATTATTGGAAAATCTAGATGGCTTAGAAAGGTATTTTCTAGTGGAATGTAAGGTTTTCTACTCCACTGGCAAGAATTCCACAAAGCTATAAACATTCTTTAAATCTAGGGGATCCTTCTCATCTTTCTCCGAAGGAGAATTTCTGTGTCTGTAATCTATATGTTATGTATATGTGTGTATATGTATATTTTAATAACTTTAATACTGCATCTGAACAGTGTCAAAGTTCAGTTGACTGTTTAGTCAAACAAATGACCAAATGCATCCAGTCCCATAAGCCCTTTACTGCGGTGAAGTCAACCAGAATCCCTCTCAGCTGATTATGGTTGTGTCCTTTAGAGCCAATGAAAACCAATGAGATGTTTGTAGCTTCAGATTTATTGCAACTTTCCTGGAGATGTAGCAGAAAAAATATGATTATTGAATTAGTGATGCATTTAGCTTTTTAACTGAAGTAACTTAGAACAAAGCACGGGGAACGTGAAATATACGGCAGGTATTCCATTTCGTCAGATAACTTCACGTGACAGATGAGCGCAGATACAGCGATTGGCTATAAGGCTGTACGTTTACTCACAGTGATGGAAGGTTATTCTGGGTGCGATGGTATAGGGATCTCAGTCAAGCTCCATTGGTCAGAAATAAGAGTATGAAGCCAGATGTTGCTGAAGTTAAAAAAAAACACACCGAAACAGGTTGTACTTGTGTAGCATCATTGGGCCTATGTATGCTTGATGACATTTTTCAGACTGAAATGTATGACCTTGGGCTCTAAAACTTCTCAAACTTTAGCCACTTCTGATGCTTAGAGACCCCAGGGGTTCTTAT